TCTAATAATGTTACGACTTTAATGTTGCATTTTTATGACTTTATTCTCGTAAATAAAAAATTTAAAAAAATCTCATTGTGTGACCCTAATACTCCCTCGTACATTGCAATTGTCCCAGAAAGAATGTAAAAAGTTCCTTTTATAACAGTACTAAAGAGGCAAATGATGGAACAAAGACAGAGGCWCACAGACTTACAGAAACTGGAGTGATTGAATTAAATTAATATACTCCAATTTCAATTGGTTAAGTCAATTTTTATGGTGCAGGGGCAGCTTGGCAGATCAAGGTTATAGATTCTTGCTTACCTTTTAAAAGTCAAAGGTTTAAAAGGTGAAACAGTGGTTTGGGCCTGTGGAGAGGGAGAAGCATGAAGTCATGCTATTTTTAGATGTGCTTCACCTCAGTGTTTGTCTCAGGGGCCTAAAGGTTTCTCTGCAGMTTAACAGGTGGGGATAATGTGCTGGTTTATCAGCTGCCAATTCAAAASACAAAGAGAACATGATAAATGTTTTACTTATTTCTTAGCAGGAATTCGATGTAGTTTGTGTATCCTTGTGGTCTCAGAGAGAGAAAAAGAAGATCCAAGTCAGCAAATCTGCTCACACAATGTATTTCCTCAAAACAAGCATCCTGGCTGYTTTTTCTTCTGTTCATGATTTCACACCTGGTCGTCTCTGGTGCCCCCTTTTGTATGTAGCTTTTCTCGTCACACATTTATCATCGAGTGTTCAGAAAAATCAGGGCTTCACACGCTCATCTGCTGATGAAGCAGACAGATCCTAGCAGAGTGGTAAAATAACCAAATTTACATCAGAGGGGCTTCTCAGCTCGGTGTACAGACAAGCAGACAAACAACTATGTACTCAGTTTCAGCTGTAGTAGAATGAAACTGCATTTTTAAAATATTGGAAAACAGACCAAGTACAATCTACAATTAATTCTCTTATGATCTAATGTTTTTTTGATTAATTTTTTGATAAAATAAATTAATTAATTAAAAAGGTAAACTGTTCTTTGACATATGAAATTATTATAGCTTGGAATACAATGAACTATAATGTTTGCTTTTAGTGCAAAAATACAAATAAATATTTGTTTTATTGTAAACGTTGATTTTTAGGCATCTGCAGCACCCACTGGATTTTATACTGTCGACTTGTGTTGTGTCCTTTGTTTGTGTTACTAACCGTTATTTTTCTAATGCTATTTAGCATCCTTTTAAACTGAATGATGTGTAGATGTGTGTGTTCTATAGTAACATTTCTGACTGAGAATATTTCAACACTCCAGCAAAAATTAACTCATAAATCTAACAGAGAAAGCTGTCAGTTGTTGCCTCAGAGACACTTTTGGTCGTTTTGGGGTTTGAAAGACGCCAATCATCCCTCTCCTCTGAGATGCAGGATTATCGTATTATTACTAGTCATTACCAATATACTAATTAAAATGTGTCCCATTCTCCTCTGTTGTGTTTTTAAGCAGATAATGCATGTTATGTGTCAGACATTAAGAACTCTGTAGATTTATACTTGGTCTCCATAAAAAACCGTGATTAATGTCTGTTACCTATTAAATTTGTTATGGAGCAGAGAATCGATAACTCCTGACACATACAGTGCAGACATTTCTCTCCTGGTTGTGTTATGCATTGTATTTCCCTGCTGATGTTTGCACACACACACACACACACACACACACACACACACACACACACACACACACACACACACACACACACACACACACACACACACACACTTTGCTTCCTTGTACAGATGATGTGTCAGGAAATCAAAACTGATGGATTTTATTATTTGTAACTGTGATTTTTGTTTCGACATTTTCCGTTGTGTTTAAGTTTACAGTGGGCTCCGAGAGGCTTCTAAGCTATTACAATAAAACTCCAGGAGATGTAAAATGAGAAGTTTAACATTTGTTTTATTTTATAGGATGACATTAAACATTAAATACATTTCATAACATTTGGGTAATAAATACATTGTGCCATTAAAAGCAAACATGTCACATTATTTTTTGCTCTTTTGCAGCCCTGCATCATTCTCAACAACATTCAGCAACTTCGTGTACAACTGGAGAAGATGTTTGAGTCGATGGGAGGCAAACAGGTCTGATCATACACATAATTCTCTGTTTGTATTATATTTAATATRTTATTATACATTTAATACACACCTAATGTAAACTTTCACTAAAAAGAAGAACAAAAATGAGAGCATGGTAAAGCAGCTTGGTATCACTGTTGCTTCAAAGCAGGAAGGTCCCAGCTTCAAAGTTGGGCTTGCGTTTACAGTGCTTCTAGTCATTTGAGGTGATTCACCTCTTTTTGTGCATATTTTTGGGATTGAAATGCTATAAACACTCCCTTTCCTAAGAAATACTTTTATCAGGACAATTTTGCATCTGCTTCAAAGTCAACACTTTTTAATTCTTTGATATAAAACTGCATTAACGTTCTTCAAGTTAAAAAAAACTACTTAACTATGGTCTGCTATGATTTTCTCTTCTTTAAATGTGTACAGCATACAGCAGATTAATAAGTATTGGTTCCTATAACTCCTTTCTATACCAAAGTCACCACAACACAGAGCTCCTGCTATGGCACCATTCATTGTTGTTGGGAAATCTGACGTGCAACATTAGACAACCTTGTGATAGACAATGAGTATTTTAATTGTGATAAACCCACATTTACCTCACTCTTTACTTTTTCTTCTGTCAACACTATCATATATAATACAAATGTTGGCATCATGGCCAGTGAGAGTCTGTTTAATTGGTCAAAWATGTTATAAGCATGCAAAACATAAGCRCAGGGTACGTGAACTRTAATAATWWATGAWATGTATTGCAGCTCAAACAGTCCTKTGCAAGGTTGATATTGCAYTCACTGATATTGTGGTGCAGATAGATTTATAAAAATGTGTGCATCCCTATGCACATGCGTATGTGGCATGGCCATGCAGACCATTGGTGGAGTGTTGCACAATCCCAGTGTTGTCCTGGTGATGGGAAAGCAAACATGGTGGGTCTGACAGTCCTTACAACCCTCAGAGAATCCTTAGAATTGTTCAGTTTGAAAACACTTTAWATGCTGTTGTGGAGGACTGGTGACTTGTCTGAGTTGAACTCTGCCTTTAGCCCATTGAGCACTGGAGCTCACTGCAAACCTGRAGTGGCTATAGATGATGGATGGATGGATGGATGGATGGATGGATGGATGGATGGATGGATGGATGGATGGATGGATGGATGGATGGATGGATGGGATAATTCTCAGGTCTTAAATGATCTCATGCTAAGCTTTATCAGCATTAATGATTGTTAATTTGGAAACAGAAACTGTTATTGATCTCTGAGATCAATAATCTGAACAGAATTCTGTTGTTGTTGCAAAAGTTTTGATGACACTCATTTTGTAAAAGTAATCTGACAACACTGATGTCCTGCATTTTCTCCGTCAGTCCCTCTGGCTTGTTGCTTTCTGCCAACCAATCAACTGTTCTTTTGTAACTTCCTTTGCATCCATTCACTCTTTTCCAACCACTTACTCCACGCCTGTTTAAAAACATATAAATACAAAAGAAAAAATGTTTATTTACCATTTTAGTAAAGCCTAGTTGTATCCTTAAATTCTGTGTTGTGTTGGAAATCTGGGTGGTTTTTCTTTCTCGTGTCTACCTGTCTGTATTTAACCTGAGGAGCAGCCCCCTCGGCTTCTTCCAACTGACATGCATGTTTTTCCTCTAGTTTCTAACACCTGTCTTGCTTTTGCATTTTGTCTCCTGTCGTTGTGTCCTCTGTTCCCCCCATTTCCTTTTTGTGCTCTCTTTCTGTCTCCAGGAGGAGGGGGTTGTCTCCTTCTGTAAGGTGTGTGAAATATGGGACTCTTTAACAACCCTTCCTTGCCATTTACCAATGAGCAGAACAAAGCACGYCCCTTTTCACCACCCCTCACAGTCCTATGCTATTCACTCCACACCCCCACCCCTTCCAGCAGCATGTGCCACAGAGCATATGGTACTGAAATTACCCATCACCCTTTTGGACAGGCTGCTTAAGCTCACCATCCCCTGCACTCTGGGGATATTGGCTTAAATCATTGGATCCCATCTTTATTTTTAGATTATTTTTCCTCTCTGCCACTTTTATGTCATTGGGTAATTTAGAACTATGCTATTTATTTTAGGTTGTTGTTCCCACTTTTACTCCAACTCAAGGAGGAGAGCCTAAAGCTCACCACCAACTTACAGGCTGYGGTTTTGATCCATTCTCTCCATTCCCCCAGCTGCCATTGCAAAAGCTTCAGAGAGGATTTTTTTTCAGTTTGTKTTCTCAAATACTCTCCGATCCTTCCAGCTATGACTTCAACTGAGTTTGTGCTGTAATCTAACTGTTTGTAGATCRAAACCTGGATTGCTTTTAGYTCTATTTTCTAAAGTATAAGGACCCTGCAAGACCTAACCTTCCCTTCCAAGTCAGATTTTGAATTTTAGCTGTTTGTGAAGAATCATGCTGTATCTTAGAAATATAGTAAGTAATTTCTGTGAAGTATCTTCTTYAAGCCTGCAACTAAACTGTATTTCAGATCCAAGTTTGTTTTTAATTTTCTTCCYGYACAGGCCTTTGATTGTAAAACTGTTTCTACCAGGAATCAACTCATAGAGTACCAAAGTAATTAGCAAGCGCTGTTATCATAGTCTAGTGCTACCAATAACAGAGCTTACTACTAATCTAACACAATGCTAATTTATAGCCTCATCAAGTACTGATCTGCCAAGTTTAGTATCAGACTTTACTTTGGATTTTGCCGTTTGCTAATATGCTTCWTTCCCGTTGAAATAGATGTCCGTTAGGCCTTCTTTACTCAGCACTGTGACTCATTTTGGATAGGCTGTGCTGTAAAATAACAACCTGCCAGCGAATAGATATTGGACTGTTGAAACAAGCAAAGTGGAGCAAAGCTGGGCAGCAGCTGATAGGCTGTCAGCCAGGGGAGAGTTGCACACGCTGCAGGACTCTGGATACCAGTCATTGTTGAGCAAAACTAGCCACCATGGAGAAGCCAGGTGCTCCATCTTTTCCAAACATGATGACTTTCTTTTACTGCGTCTAATGAACAATTCTAAAATACAACAGGCAAGCTTAGGAAATGTCCCTTTTGTCAAAGTGGAAAAATAAATCAGCAAAGTTTAATGTTTTAGAAGATGTGAAAAAGACAGGGTGACTGTGAACATTAAAACTCTTGAAAAACTTTGACTTGTGATGAAAGAATTTGTTTTCTTAAGAGATTTTCTCAAAGTAAAAACTTGATACTTATTACAGAGGTTGCAAAACGATTTCCACATCTGATTTAGCAAAAAATCAAAATGAAAAGACTGAACAGAGCTTCTACTGGCTAATTGCTGTTCTTGTTTATTTTTCTTCTCAAAGCTCATTTTTTAAAATCAAACAACTACTTCTCTTAAGGTACAATTAGAAACATTGTAGTCGTAATGCCACGATCCTGCAACTTGACAGAGATTTGCTCCAAACATGGAAACAGGCTGATTTATACGATTTTTGATGATTTTTTAAAAGATTACTGGTACCTGAAATTTGCTTTGTTGAATGAAAATCAGACTCTTCTGACTACTCTTTARCAGATTTCAGATTTAGACCACAGCACACATGCATTCAGTTCATTTGCATCCAAGAAATCACGAATGAAAGTAGAATTTTCACATTCCACAAACTGACAAATGACTTGGTTTGTCTTAAAGCTGCAAAAATGTCCTTTGCCAGAATAACTTTAAAATGTCTTAAAATTGGGATAAAATCCAAAAGATCTAAATTTCTTTTTGTYCCACACTGAAGATTAGAATCCAAACCAGTAAATGTTTAAAGGCTGAGGAAAAAGTGAGGCCTACAATGATTTATTTATTTACCTTTTTTAACACTCGAAAAGATAAAATCCATCCCTGACTCCAGGGAATAAAAAAAACRTGTATGGGTTATTATCAGTGTGAGGAAAATTTCACACATAGATGTATAAATCTATCTTGCTCATAGTGCAGATGAAGGCATGTGTGCAGAATAACGATGTGAACAAAAAAAGTTACGTTTACACATCCGCTTCCCAGCTGAGCCATCCACCATGAGAATGTGTCAGATGAACGGCTTCATGGCTGAGCTTATTGGGTCCGATGCGGTGATTTGTCATGCATGTTATCTGGTGCTTCACCTCACACGGTCATTTCAGCACACATGTATGAAGTTACCAGCACAAATATGGTCACATTTTTTTTTTTTTTGGTGCAGAGCAAACATCCAGTGCCCATTCATTTGGTCAAAATATGTCTAAAATGCCAAATGAACGTAAACATGAACASTCCTGTGCATTCATCACATAAACATGCTTAAATATGGAGCTTCAGAAAAATACATTCTGTGCATGGGCATACAAATGGTCAAAATCTGTTGATATGTTTGTATAGAGTTGTATTCATTTGCTCTTAGGTCATTTTGTATCTGCCAGTAGATACATTTACATGAGTTTATTTAAACAAACGAAAAAGTAAACAGTGATATAGTGACATTTTTTACTCTAAAATCACACCTTATTTCAGGGGACAGTGGTRACTTCATGGTCAATGGCTGCAGGTTTTGGTCCAGGTTGCATCAAGAAGGGCTCCCAGCATAAAACAATTGCTTTTTTTCCCACTTTAACACATAATTCAGCAGATTTGCATTTTATTTCTAAGAATATAACAGGCTGAGAATAGCTTGTCTTCACTGCAGCTTGTGTAATAATGCACAGAGATGTCCCTGTTGACAACTACTTCCTTGTTGAGACCACATCTTATGACTGGGCTAGCCGTCAACATTGCAGTGCTCTGAGGTGAGCTGTCTATTGGTATTCAGAGCATTGCTCGGCACACATGGCAGGCAGAATGAGTGGGAGGCCACCAGCGAGGCAGGTTACCTCTCCTCTGAGCTTGTTGCCCTCCCAGCCCCAGCACCCGCCACCGCAGTTGAAGCGTTCTCCAGAGATACAGAGACCTTGCCACTGCTGGCTACTATATAAAGTGCAAAGATGTAGTAACTGCCTGTCTTTTACTGTACCRACAGCTGGATGCAGAAGCCAGTGATCTGCTAAAAGAGCTGCAGAACAAACTCAACACAGTGCTGGACGAGCTCAGCGGAGTGTTCGGCTCCAGGTGGGTGAACCTGGAATCGCTCGTGCCACAGATTCTTTTCAGCCAGCTGATGTCTCCGTTTTATGTGAAATTATGCCACCTTTTCTGTCAAACTCAGGGTTTAATTGGCTCAAGTTTGTGTGCGTCATGCTTAGTGAGCACAGGGAGTTGTTAAACATTTCAGCTAGAAGAAAAGACACCTCTGCTTCATAATTTCTCTTCATTAATTTGACGGGAACAGCGGGAGTCAGCTTTGACTTTCTCAAAAGCCCAACATTGACTGTTATTATTCAGAGTACAGAAGTGTCTTTAAAAGGCCTGTCTTTATCATCCCAGTTTCAAACCTGTGATTGAGGACTGTGTGAAGCAGATGAACCAGGAGCTGGTTCAGATGAAAGGGCCAATCAAAGGGAGCAACGCCGCCATGGATGCAGAGACGGTCCTACGGCCTCTTATGGACCTTCTTGATAAAAAGTGGGTATCTGCTTAGTGCACCAGAAACTCAAAAGGCTATTCTGTCTATCTGCAGCGCAATGGGAGTCATTTCTCAATGAATTAAGTGATTACTCATGTATAGAACAACATACAGTAATGAACAAAGTTAAAACAGGGTCTACAATGCAAAGAATCAATTACTGAAGAAACCCACAGATTTAAAGAAATCTAAGAATCCTTCTCAAAGATGATTATTTTATTAATTACATCTCGCTTTAAGGCACAATGAAGACTGACTTAATTGTCAATTTAAATTCCAGTTTAATTCATGTGAGGCTTTTGAAATCTAAAAAAAAATATTGTAGACAATGTCCAAGAAAGAGGGTCACGCATCATTGGGGAAAGTCTATTAATTCAGCATTTAGAATGTATTTATCTAATGTGGGTTTCATCAGAGGCAATCTTGAAAGAACTGATTTACTCCAGCTGAGCTCTGAGAAACATTCTCATCATTTGTCAAAGCAGTGTAGAGGCCAATGGGGTATTACTGAGAATTTTCTTAATGATATGGAAAGACAAAATCCTTCCTCCTGTCTCTGAGACCATGTTTGCACAAAGGGGGCAAGATTAAAGCGTAAAGCTGCCGCTTTTATTCTCAGTCACAGGTTTTCAATTTTTTATTCCATGTACTGTATGAGGGCATCATTACTTGAAGCTTTCAGTCTTGTTAACTCAGGTTGAGACATGTGCTGCAAGTGTCACCCTAACAGAAGCCTCCTTTGGCTGCTTCACAGCTTGATGTTGTTTGCGAAGATCTGTGAGAAGACGGTGCTGAAACGAGTTCTCAAGGAGCTGTGGAAAATTGTGCTCAACACTATCGAGAGAACAATTGTTTTGCCTCCGCTGAGTGATCAGAGTGTGAGTTTGAGTGATCTACCTCTACAAACCTTTGAGATTCTCTTCTCACCGTGGACTGTACCTCCTTTCCTTTTAACCATCTGTCTGCTTGTCAATCATTCATCTGTTGAACCTTAAAATACTGTACAAAAGTTGAAAACAATGTAGCCCCTTAAAGCCCCCATCTACACTATGAAAAAACATTTTATTAAACAGTAATTTCMTTTGTTAATGTCCATTTCTTTGTACAAACGATCTAACAAACACATATGTATGTATGTCATCTCAATAGGCTACAAGAACATCCACATTACGACATCTCATTATACAGAGAAATAGTTTGGCCAAAAGTTCTACAAAAGTTTTTATTATTATTATTANTTATTATTATTATTATTATTTAATTTACAGTTCCTTACAGCTGTTAATTATTTCAGCACACAATCAAAATGTGATGGCAGCAGAAGCAGGTTAAAATTAGATAGACCCAGAGAAAGCAGTAGCAAAAGCTCCATATTTGTTTTGGTTTCTAGGCCAAGACTGACRTGAGTGAGCATGCACAAAACAGGCTGCTACTTCATTATTTCTGRAAAGATCTATATCTCCTGTCATAAATCTACAATGAATGGAGTTTAAAATTTTCCACCTTTTTAATATTTGTTTTTACCAAGGATAGTGTCTGTGTGTGGACTGGAGTTGCAATGGCAGCAGAAAATATATGGACTAGCATAGACTTTAGCAGAATTGCCATGCTTGTATGTTTTTAATGTAAGGAATTAATCCTTCAAATTGTAAGAATTTGTCTTACTTTTTTTGGTTTATTTTATTTTCTTCTCTGCACTGGAGTCATTCAAATTTTGCTGCCATCATATTAACAAATTTATTTTTGTCATAAGTTTCTGCATTGCCTGTGATTTACATAAAAAAAACAAAAAAAATCACCACTAATCATTGTTTAAAATGTTGTTTGTTCTTAAAATTGATTTTGTTTTTATATCAATGTTGCTAATAGGACTTTTTTTGTCCAAAATGACAATACATCTTTATTCAGCAACAGGGGGCTCAGATGATCTTTAATGCTGCCAAGGACTTGGGACAGTTGTCTAAACTTAAGGTAAACCTTTGATAATCCTAAAGCAGATTTTGTGTATTTCACTATTGTATATAACATTTTATGACTTAAAGCAGAAGTTTAAACTCTATAAAGTTGGGTTTTGTCTACAAAAAAACACAAGTAATGGAAATTAAGTATAAATTGGACATGAGCAATGAATTAAATATCTGTCTAAATCAAGTGTCATTTTCAGTCAATAAGAACAGTGTCTGCAGGGATGAAAACAATCAAGAGACTGACTGAGCATAGTTTAGCTATTCAAACTTCTTAATCCAAATCTTTCATTTTACTCAACTACCTGAAGTGTATTTATAAGAATTGTTTTATTTCATGCATTCACTATTGTGATTGCAGCTTAAAACGTGTTTGTGTTTTTTTTTTCCTAAGGGGTGGGCCATGCATCCTCACAATGCTGCATCCTGAACTTGCAGCTATCACTTTGGTTATATGGATATAATCTTAGCACCAAGCGCTAAGATAATTACAACGTTCACAGACTGACCATTTCAATGCGGTTCTGCAGTTTATGATCTGCAGCTGCAGCAATAGTTGCACCAGTGGTTTTAGTTTCTTCAGCCTCCCGTTTCATAAAACATTTATTGTATTTTGGCTGTGCTGYGTAAGGAGCACTGGCACCTGGGAAATAAAGCAATGCCAGAAGTTATTTACTGCAATCAATTCACAGTTCAGGAAAGCTCCAATTAGAATTGACAAAAACACTTTTCATGATTAAAATGGATTTTTAGGATACGGATGTGAAACGGCAAGGTTGAAGTTTATCTCTCATTGGTGTAAATGACAGCACATGGCTCTTTGGCTTTCTAAACAGTAAATGACCTGGGTCTTGAATGCAAAGGCTCACTGTTTTCATTACAATTTTACTGATAAAAGTTCAAAACTTAGAGTGTCAAAGTGCGACTTGTACTTGCATTTAGCTTTTGCTGCAGTGATTCTCACACTTTCTGGTTCCCCTCCAGGAGCATGTCATTCGAGAGGAAGCCAGAAGTCTGACGCCTCGCCAGTGTGCCGCCATGGACCTTGTGCTTCCCACTATCAAGGTACGACTTCTGTTCATTTCACCATTGGCTGGAAAAAACAAACGTGACCTTCAAAAACCTGAGCAGATGCACAGAGATATGCAAATGGTGTAAGTGTGCATCTGAATGAAAGAGACAGGTAATATTTGTGTAGCCCCTTGAATGTTTTATTACTCTGAAGAATGCAATAATACCTACATTAAGAAAATAGCAAAAATATTAAAAACAACAACAAAATAATCTAACAAAAACAGTGGCTCTTCCTTCTATAGCACATTTTTTTAGAAAGATATAGACAGTTTGAAGACCAAGTTTCAAATCTTCAGAGGCAAGAGAAAAGTTATGATGAGGTGCTGCAGGTGAAACACTGCATCATAAAGTGCCAARGAAACTAATTGCTTTTACTGTCACCATGGAAACTACCTGCAGGTTTAGATCAGTCACATCACTGGGATTCTTTCCATCAATGTTTAGATAAGAAGAATCACTTGATGCCGTTAAATGGACGAGAATGAGCTGATTAGATAAAGACATTCTGGTCTGGAGGGGTTATATGCCGTCACTGGGTCATTGTTTCTAAGATACTGTATAATGGATGTGAAACTAAACTCTATAAGCTGTAAATACCGAGTACTATTCAAAGTCAAACCATTTTAACGTATGTTAAAATAATAGTTCAGAACATTTGACTTGGGTTTCTGCACAACGGATATGATCAATAGTATCTTACCTGTTGCAGCTGCGCTTTGAACAACCTCAGTTTGAAGGAATATTGATTTATTCTGACATCGTTACACCCAGTCAGATTTGCATTACACCATTTATTTTAGTAGAGATGATGATGATGATGATGATGATGATGATGATATCCTTACCAGTTGTGTCCGAGGCTGCGCTGGAGATGCTACAGATAGCTGCTACTCCCCCATATGCTCTTAAAAGTAAAAATATACAATATAACATTTATACTCATGTGATTCCTGTTACATAAGGTTTTTGAGACTGTAGTTGTTTTTAAACAACAGTAACCCACTTTGGTTTTGACCCACTTAGACTGGCTGTTGGTTTGTTTTCTGGTGAGAACCAAAYGTATTAGTTGTTGAGCTTCTTTAGATGGAGAAAGTTTAAAAGTTTGTAACACTCTGACAAAAATGTTCGACTTTAGTCCCAYAGAAAGATTAAGAACATTTGATTTAAAGAGCCAATTCTGTATATAGAAGCTGCACAGAATTTTCTGCCTCCTCAAAATGTCTTCACTCCCCCAAATCTGCCTATTGAATAAAAGGTATATCTTGATTGGCTACACAGCTGTTGTGTCAGAACAGCTCAGAGCTGATTGGCTGATTCTACAGTCAATCAATTATGTGTACTGCAAGTGGGAAATGAGGAATTTGCAACATGTTTTGGGCCCTGGAGAGCCAATAGATGAACCCATTTGGCCAGAAAAGGTCTAAATCAAAAGAAACCAATCAATCGAATCGTTTTATTAGCCTACTATGCCAATTCAGAGTCCCTGGCAGCCTGAGTCAGGC